CAATAAAACATTATAATAACATTCTTTTTGTGTTTTCTTTTTTATACATTGATAAAATTATGAACAAAAGATTATTTTGTTTATCTGATTTAATAAGAAGAAAATATCTCTTTACTGATTAAGAAAACGTGTTATGGCTTTAAATGGAACAGTTCTGTCTCTCTGAAGGAGGTCTTCTGAGACCAAGGTCAAAGACCTCGAGGTGACCACTACACTCTGATCAGGGGCTATCCATCAGGCCCACAAATGAGAACCCCAACCCCCAGAGGCCCCCACCAAAAGCAATAAAAATTTTGGGATGCACCAAGCAGCATGAAATTTGGTATGAAAAGWGACCTGAGTTCAGCTGCACTGGCGCGTGCAGTGGTCATTATGTTACCGCTATGCARTATCTAGTTAAATCAATCCTGAAACAGTTCAAAGTTTCATTGTATGGAATCAAGTTCTGACAGAAACTAAAACCCTGTTATTGCATGCTTTTTGCTTCAGAAAGAACTATACTTTTGAAATTTGATTAGCAGCAGAGAACGCAAATGTCATTTTTTTCTCAATATTAATCTAAAATCATCTAATTGTAAAAATGCCTCTGCAAACTGTAGGTGGAGTTAAGTCTCATTTGTCTTGGAATTGGTTGCAGTCTTTGAAGGACATAAACAAGCTGAAGTTAAAGGTTTGTACGATTACATTCTGCTGGGAGACAGTGGTATCATGTGAGGACAAACATCTCAACAAAGCCAATTTTCTACTTTTTTGAGTGTGCTATCAGAGAATATCCAGACAATATCATGCTGCTGGAACATTCTGTGGCCCCCATAAAGCAAACCATTGTGCAACAGTGGCCTCCCATAGAGTTTTTCTTTCTTATCAGTTTGTTGTCTTTATCTGAGCGGTTCCATTACCTCTTTGCTTTGCTGCCAATGGAGCTTACGCTGCACCATTACCTGAGCTTTAACCTTCCTCCCTATCCATTTCCAAGATTCTTAGTTGGCCTATGTCTATCTGCCTGATAAGTGCACAATAGTTTGTGAGCCCAGTCCTATGTAGAGCCACAACGARGGGTTCTGCTGAGGTTAGAATCTGAAAATATTCTGGTCTTGTGAACTCAGTGAGAGCTAATCCTTGTTAGGATAACTTTCTGTAATTGCCCACACACAAAGCTAAAGACAGAGCTAAAACAGAAAAATATAAACTTCTTTGCTCTTTTTCCACCCCTAAACTCTTACAGCTCCACAACACGTTATCTTCCCCAGGTTTTTTCAAAACAGGTTTTTTTTTTGTACTAAGGCACCCATTTTCACAATTACAATTATTTATAACTTTGCTGTAACTGTTGCAGATGAAAGACTTTTAGATTTTTAATACCCCGTGCTGGCCAGTTCAGCCAATCCTTTCAGGTGAAATCAAACACTTAAATGTTTAACTCACTGATATTGAAATGTTAGTTGTTGTATTTGTTTGTGTTTTTCTGGCTCAGATATTGCTGCATTTTGTTTTTATTCAGTCTATAGGGAGGTTTTGCATCTCTTTCAGCTGTGTTGAGCAGAGGAGTGCTGTGGAGAATATTAACTAAACCTCAGGCTGGGAGTGCCTCTCTGTGTGCATTGTAGCAGTCAATGAGGTGTCTAAGAAATGATAGAGGATGCTTTTCTCCTGGGTCTCAGCCTCTGCTGGGAAGCGGTTCACCACCAACACTATTTATGGTGGGGATGGTGCACTGCTGAACTCAGGATTTGAAGACCTCCTCAATCCCACCAGCATGTCTTCCCATGAGCGGAGCCTGAGGACCCTGSGTTGGACTCTCCAGTCTCTGGCGCCGAGGTCACTGAGGCGGTTAAAAAGTTCCTTTGTGGCAGGGCGCTGGGGGTGGATGAGATTCACTCTGATTAAGGCTCTGGATGTTGTARGGTTGCATTGGTTGAAGCGACTCTACAATATCACATGGACATCGGGGGCAGTTCCCCTGGATTGGCAGACCAGGGTGGTGGTCCCCCTATTTAAAAAGGGGGACAGCAGAGTGTCCCAACTATAAGGGGATCACACTTCTAAGTGCACCTGGTAAGGTCTATTCAGGGGTCCTGGAGAGGAGGGTCCATTGGATAGTTGAATCTGATTCAGGAGGAGCAGTGTGGTTTTCTTTCTGGTCGTGGAACAGTGGACCAGCTCTACACCCTCAGCAGGGTCCTGGAGGGTGCACGGGAGTTCGCTCAACCTGTCTACATGTGTTTTGTGGACTTGGAGAAGGCGTTCGACAGTGTACCTCAGGGACTTCTGTGTGGGGGGCACTCTGGGAAAATGGGGTACCAGGCCTGTTGATACGGTCTGTTAGCTCCCTGTAGGACCGGTGCTAGTCACTTGGTCCGCTTTGCTGGTAGTAAGTCGGACTCGTTTCTGGAGAGTTGGACTGCAAGGTTGCCCTCTCTCAGATATCTTTCTGTATCCTTCCTCTAAACCATGACG